ACATGTTCTCTGAAGCTTTCTGCGGTTTACCTCCACCATTATCCAGCATACTTTCTCCTAAGATTTATTTGCATCTATTCTGTAAATAACACAAACCTGTCCAGGGAATGGTTTGTTGTCATTTATGGCGATCAACCTTCATATACTACATGAAAATTGTATGAATGTTTGAAGGATGTGCTTGTGAGTATACCTGAAGATAAAGTTGAGTTTGAAACAAAAGAAAACCCCTTCTAATGCACTAATAACCACATAAAATATAATAATCAATCAATAGTCATATTTAGAAAGTTTTAATCAATGAAGACCTACTCAGCTGATTTTAAAAGTAGCAAATAATGTTTTGTATAGGACATCTGTTATGGTATTATACAATTAGCAAAACTCATGGCCAGAACATTTTCTAATCTTGTTTTTTAAAAAACCCTCAATAACTAAGTATACCACCACATTATGTTATTACTAGGTTTTTAAATAAAACAAGGATTCAAGCCTTTTCAGTGCCATGAACTCATTACAGTTTTTTGGCTGTTTGTCTAAAGGTATAGCTTGGATGATGATTTGAACCCCTTATATGCTCCAAATTTTCAAGAGTTTAGGTTCTATATTTTTGTCCATTGGTCTGCCTATGTTAATACTTTGAATGATTACTGTTCATAAATGCCCTGATAATTGCCATTCTCTCAACAGCCACTGGACAAGGACTGCATGGGCAGCAGCAGGGCCTGCTCCCATTCCGCAGCCAATGTCTTTCTACTAGAGCAATTGTAGCTTAGCATCAGGAGATAGTTTAGACTCATTCAGTCAGTCCTTGTCTCTTGGGACTGCTGCCAATGGTGCTAAATACTTGAGATGTGCATTGGTAATGGATTGAAATCATCTCCTCATTCCAGATATGGTTTTGGTAAGGTTATCTCATAATAACAGGATGCTAAACAGCCCTAGCCACTACTTTTTAGTGCATTTTACTTTATCTGTGCCCTGAAATGCATTTAATTGGTAGTCAAATCCTGCCCACTTTAAATCATATGATTAAATCTGACATTGTTGGGATTACTCAAGTAAGGAAGGTCAGTTGGATTTGACCTATGATCAATATAACTCATTAACACAACATTGCAGCCATACAAGCCACACATATCTAGAGCAAAGCTACAGAAACTGACATGTGGCTCTCTTATGACTAAGTTTTCTTTTAGGCTGTGTCTAGACTAGCAAGTTTTTCCACAAAATCATCTGATTTTGCGGAAAAACTTGCCAGCTGTCTACACTGGCCGCTTGAATTTCCGGAAAAGCACTGATGATCTCATGTAAGATCGTCAGTGATTTTCCGGAAATACTGTGCTGCTCCCGTTTGGGCAAAAGTCTTTCTCTGAAAGACTTTTGCGCAAAAGGGCCACTGTAAACAGCACAGTAGTGTTCTCTGCAAAAAAGCCTCGATCGCAAAAATGGCGATCGGGACTTTTTTGCGGAAAACCGCGTCTAGATTGGCCACGGACGCTTTTCCGCAAAAAGTGCTTTTGCGGAAAAGCATCTTGCCAATCTAGACGTGCTTTTCCGAAAATGCTTTTAATGGAAAACTTTTCCGTTAAAAGCATTTTTGGAAAATCATGCCTGTGTAGACGTAGCCTTAGAGTTTATTAAAGTTTGAGCAGAATATAGAGCTCATGAAAGTGAAGCTCAAATGGCACTGGCTCAAGTCAGGTTGCTGCAGGGTTCCTGATTAATTTCTGCCAGTGAAGAAAAAACTCTGACCTCCAGCACCATTACTACTCAGCTACAGCTCTCAAAAGCACATATGGACACTCATTCCAAACTGTCACATAGTTTTGTAATGCAAGCTGTAATGATTCAGCATCCATTTGAAATATGTTAGTGATAGCAGGGTCCCATACAGTTTTCGGATACACTAGCAAGGGCTCACTATGTCACAGTGTCCCAAGTTTCTACCAATCCAAACAGTATCAAAATTGTCATATCAATGGAAGAATTTGAAACAATCATTTAATCTTTATTGAATCTATTTATTCCATTTTCTTACTCAGGCAAACTCAGGTGAAAGAAGCCGTAAATCAATATCAGGTTTTAACTTGAGCTGATAAAAGCAAGAAAATGTAGGTTATGGGCCCAGTTGCTTTGTGTCCCAAGTTCCAGTGGTCTGATCTGGATGAGGCACCTGTCAAATTGGATCCTCAGGGGCTGAAGGCAACCTTAACTCATCTCATAGTGCCTACCAGCATATATGTGTATGTAACCTAATATATTTATGACCAGTTTTGCAACACCAAAACAATACATTGCATTTAAAATACTTTCCAATTCTGAGCCTCCTTCTGAGGAGATGAATGCACTTTATAAATATAAATGAATTTGGCCAGATACACCCTTTTCGGGTAAGTAAATATCCACTTTTTACAGTAGAGGAAATGAACCCCAGAGAGTATAAGGTCAAGTCTAAACTTTCAAAATTACTAAATTTGACTTAAGAACTCCCAATTTAACAAATTCGAACTAGCATGTCCTCACTATGGGGAAGCATCAAAATTAGTCTGAGGCAGGGTCCATTAATGTGGATGCACTACCTCAGACTTAAAGCCCCAAGAAGAACCCTGGGAAGCTGCGGGAGGTCTCCTGGAGACCAATAAGTTCATATTAGTAGCACCAGAGCATCTACAGTATTTTGAAATTACTATTTTGGAATTAGTATTACTCCTCGTGAAAAGGAAAAGTACAGAGTTCGAATTCCATGGCCCGTTATTTTGAAATAATGGGGTTGGTAGCATGGACGCACCACTTATACATTTGAACTTGGGAGGGTTATTTCAGAATAAGGTCCTAGTGTAGACCAGGGCTAATTGATTTGTCCACAATCACAACAGGAAAGGTGCAACAGAACAAGGAATAGAAGCCAGATGTCCTCATTTCAAATCCCATGCCTTAATACTAGCCCATGCTTCCTCTTAAGTAAGGTTCAAAAGGATTTGCATTTTGGCTAAAACTTTTAACGCTAAACTTTCATTCTATTGTTGTTCTAAGCTCAACTATCAGGCCAGATTCTACCATATTCACATTAAGTAATCACATTAAGTTATGGAGAAAGGGTGGTAAAATCTGCCCCTTAAAAAGCTTCCAGGGCTTCTTTCATTTAATTTAAAAATAGTTTCTTTTTGCACATTGTTTTCCCTTTGGGAATTACTTCCATGTTCTTTTATTACTAAGGACATCCACATGAATTCAGGATATTTGTTTCTTAAGGGATAACAGCCCTCTACTTTTTTGTTCCTCACTTGAAATCGTAATCCTCTGTCACAACAGTAATTTCCATGGCAACCAATTGTGATGTCACAAACAGGAGATTCTGATTTCAAGAGCAGTTCAGCTTTTAAAAATCCTGGTTTGTATTCAAATATCATTTGTCCACTTACACACACTAATTAAAATGGGGATAATTTAAGTATAAAACTAGAATTGTGTCTAGACAGAGTGATTATCGAAGCTTTATATGAGTCAACAGCAGCATTTCAATGGTATCCTGAAATTGTTCTCTGGATAGGGTTTTTTGTGGGGGGGGGTTGTTTGTTTTTTTGCACTTGGTTCTAATTTGGACCATAGCTATCCGCCTACCAAATACATAAAACCTGTTGATTTATGACATGAAAGATTGGTATCTTCACAAAGTCTTGTGAGGCCCTTTGAGGTACATTTTCTCTCGCTCATAATAAGAACATTGTTTATGTTTCCTCGGAGTATGCTTTTAATGCACTTGCATTTGCATGCTCTCAGGGAGAAGAGAATGGGGTATTTGAGATTCTTTTTTTAAACTACTTTGTCAGGCACTTATGATCTGACAGTTGTGACTCCTTCTCACTTAGCATTAAAAAAACCAACTGGCTCCACACTTGCATTTGATTAGCGTATGCAGGCTTGGTGCACAACTAAGT